CGTGATACATATCACGTTGTTACCCCGTCCGGTCCCATCCTTCACAGCTCACAATAGATAAAATTTCGAAGCGAGTATAGGCATAAAAAAAATGTGACAGCCAATAAAATTCACGGGACGATACAGGGATTATTCTAGAATGTGATTTCCTAATTTAACCACTAAAGGTTCAATAGTGTAGAAAAACATAAATGTGATCGATCTATATAGATCGATATAAATCGATAATTTTAGGCCAAATCATAGTGAAATCGATAATTTTGCAATTTTTAATGCATTGTAATATACTAAATTTGGGCAAAGCTAAGAATATAATTTTGGCGGGGAGCATAATTTCTGAATACGTAGAAAGTCATTGAAAGTAAAGTTCCGAAATTGGCTAATCCGATAAATATACAGTAGAAGTCACGTTATATCAAAAGGCGCAATATGATTGCAGAAAATGAAAAATCGATATAAATTGATATTTTTGACGTTATCGATCGATATTTTTCCGATCCCTGATATGGCACTTATGTATATCACGAGCTAAATGATATGCATCGTTATACTACGTTCCTGGTACTAAAAATATAGCATACATTTTTGCATAGTGCAGGAAATCAAAAACTTAAATCATTTTATATAAGATAAAATATAATTAACACATTGAATATATGCTAAATTTACAGTATTTAAGTTTCAGAATATACAGCGACAAATGGATTGTAGACAATTTTAGAGTTTTATTACTCTTCGGTGGCGGAGTTGACCTGTTCAAGAATCCATTGAATGTAACTCTGAATAACTTCCGTGTTATCATAATCATTATGCACTATTAAAGTTGAGATGCAAAAGAGTAACATTAAACAAAATAAAAAAAAATAAAAAAAGGTAATAATAATAAATAATATTTATACATACTTTCATGTAGACGATCCTTCCATTCACGAAACATTACATTACTGGCTTTAGTTTTTTGAACGAATTGTTTAGAAGCTTCTGGACTAGTAACCGGATCTGCGGAACCGTGAGCAATATAAATTGGGAAGGTCATATTTTATATTCCTTTTCCAAGACTAATGTTCCACCTGTTTCTATATCTGCAACTATATATAGAAATATAGTATATAGTTTGAATATACAATTCTAAACATTAATGTAAATGATTATATACTTACGAGTTTTATAAGTAGCATATTTAGAATCTATAATCATCTGATCATCCTGGTATTTTTTAATTTGAACTGGATCACGAGAAATGTATTTTGCATCTACTGAAGCATCTGTTTTATTATTTGGCAAAAACTTGCTAAGAGTAGGAAGAAAGAATAATCCGATCTTCCGCGATATAGGATCAGATTGGGGTGATAATTGAAGCCATGGTGATGCACAGATAAAACCTGCTACATTATTATGCTTTTCATCAATTTCGCAAGCATAGCGTAGTGTAAGACCACCTCCCTATTAGTCAAAAATTGAAATAAATGAAAAATATTCATTATAACACAAAAAAAATTAATTAAAAAATTAATGTACGTGCGGCTTGAATAATGAATGATTAATTTACCATACTATGGCCCATCAGAAATTGAGGAATTCCATTTCTTCGTTGGGATGTTAAAGCATGAGTAATATCAGCTTTAATAATTTCCCAACCACCAGAATCGCCATGGTTGTTATATTGCTTAGCTGTTCTACCGAAACCACGTTGATCATAAGCAAAAACTTCAATATTTTTTTTTCCGAATTTATCAAATACATGGTTGTAACGTTTAACATATTCTCCAAAACCATGAATAAATAATACTGTAGCAGTAGGTTTATCTGATACTGCCTGAAATTAACATGTACAAAATTGTCCTTTTTTTTCAAAAATTGGCGAGAACAAAAAGTTAAATAGTTTCATCGATCTTAACATACCTTCCAAGTTCTAGTATATATTTTAACATCATCTGAGAATGAAATCCATTCTTCGATAACTTTAACGGAGGTATCTACGGAGACATCTGTAAACATGTTTCCTTTATAGTATATATATCAATCAAATGGTAGAATAAAAAAATGACCTACATTAGAGATTGTTTAAATATAAGAATTGTCTTCTTGAAATCATGTGTGAATTGTACGCACTTTATTTAATACCAGATACGTATTACAGTCGCGTTTAATTAGTAAAAATTAAAAATACTTGATTAGAGCGGGTTTTTAAAATCAGGAAATATCGTGAATATTTCCATTTATATGAAATACAATGATTTTCCTAAATTAGTAACCACAATAAAGTGCAGAAATCTAGATTTCTCAATCTTCATAAATGGTACAAAATTAAACTTTACAGCTACTGAAACTTAAATAGACCACTATTGAGAATGACAAATTTAGCCTATCTCCAATGAGTTACAAGTCAATCTCGAATGGAATCCTGAAAATTTTGATAATCGTGCATAGGGTTGCATCAGACGGTGTTACGCTAAATACTTCTTTTCTTCTATATTGTTTTTAACGTTAACGGAATTTTATTTTATTATATTTTACCGGTATTTTATTGAATTATTGCAGCAAATGAGGTGGAGGGTGATTAACTCTCATTGAGGTTATGAACACTGAACAAGAGTTAGCATCGAACCGTTGCAGTGCGTGAAAGATTGACTAATCAAATTGGGTAATATCACGTTCATAAATAATGTGCTTTTATAACAACGTACTGATACTCCAAGAACACCTCAAAAAAATTCTGCGCAACCAATTAAATTGTAAGATCAAGTGTAACTGTAAAATTTTAGTATATATTATCGCTATATTCATCTTTGTGATTTTTAATTTCTTTGATGTTTTGATTTTCGCGTTGCGCAAATTTCTGGGGTGTCCTTGAGGTACATCTTTACAGTATTATTAAGTTTGAAAAGATCTGATTGGTACATCTTATTGTCTTGGGTAACTCAGTAAATTTATATAAATTTGTAAAAAACCTGTAAAATAAATCAAAAGTTAGAAGTTTGTTATTTGGAAGAGCGTTGTAATTGAACGATATTAGTAGTAAGAGTTTCAAATAAGTAATTTTCGTTTATGTGCATATTTTTAAAATTTTATTTGTAATTCAAGAGATAATTATAACCTTTTATTTGATAGCAAATTTTTTTCAATTACGCTGTTACGACTGTTGGGAGAGCAGCACATAGTAGTGTACGCGTGAAATAGCTCCAGTCGCAACTTAGGTTGGGTACAATAGCATTTCATTTAATCAAGTGGGACGTAAATATCAATGATAGTTGGGAATAAATGAAAGGCAATTCAATATTTTTATTATGAGGACATGAACTCTGGGTTTTCGGTAGTCTTTATTAATTGAGACATTTTGTGCTTTTATATACATTTTTAGTAATTAGAGGACACTTCTTAATGTTCTACCAACACTAGTATTGTCTGGACACTACCTAGTGTTCGTAGGATACTCATCAGTGTCTTTAGAACACTAAAGGGTCGTTAGTGTTATCCCGCAACCATCTAAGGCATAGTCACTAGAGGCTTTGTGCCGTCACGTCAGCCTCATATAGCCGATTATACAAATTAAAATAATTACAACGCGACAAGTTTTTTTGGTCAAGTTTGAAAATAAGAGTGAATATGTATATGATCAACTACAATAAATTAAGTATCATTGTTAATTCTAAATTGACATAAGTCATTTTGGAATCTCGTGAAATGTTTCAAATTTTTTAAATCGTTATAAATTTTACACAAGAAGTTTTGTTTTAATTAACTTTGTAGAGCTATATAAGCTTTATATACAGACCAAATATCTTTTTGATATCTTGTCTGTGTAGTAAGATATTGCGATTAAAGATCATATAAATTTATATATGTTTTGGCTTTAAAATGCTTCAACTCGTTATAGAGGCAAAGTTTTAAAAATCTGACTGATGACTTCGTAGAACTTATTTTTTAGAACAAAGTTATTGGTCAGATTTCTAAAATTTTGCCACTACGACGAGTTGAAGCATTTTAAAGCCAAACGTATAATCTTTAAATCACAATATGTTATACAGACAAGACATAAAAAAGATATTTGAATAGGTTTTTTATTTAAAAAAAAAACCTCTTGTGTAAAGGTTATATCGATTTAAAAAATTGTAACATTCACTGGAACTATAAATCATAGAAAAATTATTAACATTAAATTTTTATTCTAGTGTTATAAGTTTACATCACATAGCTACGATATTACATTATTTTTACACTATGGGATGCAATGACAGTTGTTTTGTAATTTTTATTTAGTTGCTTGTTTTTGAATCATTGTATAGTAGTCGTGTCAAATTTATTCAGAATAAATTTAACTTGTTTGAGTAGAGATTAGAATTGATAGTTCGAACATTTACTCACCATGAATTTTTCGAGCATAGATAATTTTCTTTTTTAAATAATAAAACCAAGTTTATCTAATAAAATTCTTTTCTAAATATTATAATTCAGTTTTAAAATATTAGATCAGAATATTATTTAACTTCAAAATTAGCTTCTTATTATACAGTATGATGATGCTCAGTAAATGTTCAATTCCAAAAAACTTTGATAACAAATTTGGGTATTATGATTATAATTTTCATTTTTAATATTTTCTATGTTTCCGATTTTAGCTATTATAAACCTATAAAAAAACATTAAAACGGCGGTTTATATGTATTTGCATGATTTCTAAAGATCAAAGCAATGATTATATTTGTAACAGTTTTCGTTTCAATGATTTAGGATAAAACAAATAAATATATTATTAATGAATATTTGAAACAATATCAAAATAAAATAAAATAACCCATTGCATTGACGATAGTCATAAACTACATAGCACAAATTAGAAAGTACCTTTTTTTTTTTTTTTATGTTAACGAAGTGATAGAAACTATCAGAAAGGGTTATTAACCCTCAGATAGGGTTCAAAACCTGGAACGAAGGTTTAAGACATCAGAAATATTTCAAAATATATAAGTGGCGGGTTTCAGGATTAGGAATAGATTCTAAATCTCATAGATAGTGTTACGGGATAAAAGAATAAGACCCGGAAGATAGGTCGGAGCTGCGCCTAATAATGTGAGGCGGCGATAGGGTAATTACCGAGAATAAACACACCTATCATTGTGTTGTTACACAAATTGTAAGTGATGACGAGAACGATGACGAGAACGATGACGAGAATGGTGACAAGGACGGTGACGAGAACGATGACGAGAATGGTGACAAGAACGATGACGAGAGTAATGTCATAATATAAAGAAAAAAGACATATCGTGTTAGAATAGGAAACAAGAGTAATATAGGAAAACTTACCTTAGCCTTAAAAGTAAAAATGTTATAAAAGAAACAATAAAATAATAATTAAAGAGAACTCCTTAAATAAACTGTGCATATAATCTGAAACTAAACAAAAGTCCTAAATCAATCTGTAATAAATTTAATAAGACATTTATAAAAATATAAATTTGAGTAATTTAATAAATTTCAATACCAAATCGCTAACATCACGCCTTTGGCGATAAGAAATAATCACAAGATTGATTCATCCGCCCGTAACAATAGGTATAATACTTCTCCCAATGTACTGAATTTATATTTGTAAAAGAAATCACGTGAGACCCATAACGCCCTTAAAAATAAGAGTGAATCCGACAACTAAAATAAACCAATTACCGCATATATTAGTAATAGCAGGGTAGATAGGTTTGAGACGATTTTCTATATGAAAATAAGCAAAACTGGAGATTTATTCCTTTATTAATAATGATTGCCAACGAAAGCCTAACTAGCTTTCTTTCTTTACATATTTATATCGCATGTTACAAGACAATTACTTGTTTATGAATACAACTCGAACGTATAGCCATTACGATTTCAAATGAACAATTCGTAGTTCCTAATTTACATCACGTTTCACGTGATATACGTATGTTTTATGAACCTCCGACATGTTCGTTGTATGAACTTCCGGCACGTTCGTTGTACGACACGTGCATTGTGCACTTACAGATGGTAAAAAAAAAAAACGGATTAAATCATTTACTTTTTAATTGTTGTTTAAAACATCGGCAGCTGAATTGAATTTTAATTTCAAGCTTCTGCATTTCTTTAATCGAAAAAACTGTCTAAATGATAAAATTAAATCACATTATTTAACAATTATGATTTATTAAAAAAACATATTAAAACAATTAAAAACTAAACATTATTTTTAAAATCTTTAATGTATATTCCTTTACCATATCAATTCTAATAATATTAAATTTCTATAATAATAATTTAAATCAAGATGTAAAATTATGTGACATATATAGAGTCGATATTAGGTTAAAAAGAATATGAATGTTTCCAAAATTAAAAAAAAAATATTAATATTAAAATTAATATTAAAATAACACAATACTATAATTAACAGGTGAGTATAATGACATATTAATATTAATAAACTACTTTAATAAACTTTAGATTGTTTACTTTGTGCAAATCCAACTTTATTGTTTCCCTTGTCAAATACTGAATATACATTTTTTAAGAAAGTTTGACCAACGAGCCATATATCCGGACTATTGAAAATATCTTCAGCTCCAGGATAAATAGATGATATGCAAACAGTGCCAGATAATGGGAAAAAAGTTAAATCTTTGGTTGGAATTTTATAATCAACACCTCCAAATCTAAGGGAAACTATAGCTTTGGTATTGCATGGGATAGTGTAGAAACCATTTTGACTATCAAATTCGGCTCCTTGAATTTGATTATGAATAGCTTCAGCATCATTTGAAGGTATTATAACAACTGTAGTTCCAGTGTCAATGAGTGCTATCCTTTTTGAAAAAGATATTGGATTGCTATTAACAATTGCACCGCCTAGATTTATTGTCCAAAATCCTACTGCATCGACTATAGGGTTAAATGTAATTTTTCCGTTAAATTTACTTTCATCAACACCACCCAAAGTAAATGTTCCTTGATCATCAAAATCTGTTTCATGTTGAAAATGAAAACTAAAAATTGGATTAATTTTCTTTTGGTTAATTAAAGTAGAAATTAATGTTGGAGCGGCATTATCCATAGTGTTCAAACAATCAAAGGCTAGTCCTAAAATTCCATCACATTCCTGATCTATAAAGTCATTAGATACAGTATTTGCGAGACCAAAAATTTGGCTTTCGGCAGTAACACATCCAATTTTAACATTATCTATTCCAGTAACGCCAGAAGAACTACCAGTGACATATGGAATAGACCATTCATTACCTTCTGGTTTAAAAGTTTTTGAGCGACTTGAATCAAATTTATTATGATTTTGACAAGAAGAAGAAGTACAATCCTTATTCGGAATCCAAAGATTTGAAGACCCGGTGTCTAAAAGAACGCTGAATTCTTGATTTCCAATAATAATTTTTCCATAATAATCTTCATCTTGATTGATAGATTTTATAGGTAAGGTGCATTGGTCTTTTACTCCGTAAGAATTAACTTTGTCAGAAGCTATTTTTTTGGATGTTGCTACATTTGAAGATGTTCCATTCTTAGAAGTTGTTAAATCGGAGGATGTTTTATTGTTAGAAGTTGTTGCATTGGAAGTCGAATTAAGATCTTTGAAGCTAGAGTATTTTTTTATAGCTCTTTGCTTCATACGATTTGCAGTATTAATTACAATTGTGTCATCGGACGCACTATTCGCTCTTTTTACCAAGTTAATGGTAAGCAATTGCTTTTGATTAGGATATGCATTTACGCTATAAATAGCGACTATGGATGAGATGATAAAAAGAAAGGTTATTTTCATGTTTTCTATTAAAGAATGTAAATATTATTTACTTTTAACGATATTTTGAAAAATGTAAAATGAACTACTATTCTTTAAGTCTTGAAGATGCTTTATTTATTTCATTTCTGTGTATTACAAGATTCATTTCGAATAATTTAATAATTTCTAATGCTTATTTCTGAGTCATTTTGCATAGCCAGTGATTTAATATTTCTAATAGCCAAGACAGATTTTACAAAACAATGCATACAGTATGTATAACAACATTTCTAAATTTGTTTAAAACATGCATATGATCGTTTTTTATTTTATAGTTAGACCTCTCTATTACGCTTTCTATACTTGCACGCTCTATGTAAATTTTCAAATGTATGGTATAACTTGGACCCTGTTTATAGTAGTGTGTATATATCTTCTCTCTATAAATCCACGTCTCTCTAGCGCATATTTTATGGTAAAAGGGTAAGAAGTGAACTAGGGAGATTTGACTATACTCAGAAAACAGAAAACCTGTGTAATTGAATTATAAAGAATCCATAGGACCTTGTTGAAGATTTCATTAATTATTGTCACTGCATTTTAATTTTGCTATAGTAAACTTTATTATTTTCAAATAAAATTAAGTTCTTTCTAAGTCACCATATGCTGCCATGTAGTATGACGTATTTTTGTCTGATGCAAAATATAATACGTACGTATGTACGTATCGTGATATTCTTTATATGTGCGTACGAAAGGAATTTTTGTAAAGCTATTTTTATATTCTATAAGTTATTTGTTATATGCTACGTATTAGTTTTTAATTATGTAACTTTGCATGTTTTTACGTACGTAGCAAAATAATAATAATATTATTATTTATTATTAATTATTGGATGTTTGACACCAATAACAGTCGCATCATGCATCTTATCACTGCATGGTGCTTTTGTTAATATTATGAAAATCACATTAGATTGTGATGTTTATATATGTTACGATATGTGACGATTAAACACCATGCAATGATAAGGTGCATGATGCCCATCTATAGTCTCATCTGGCTTTGAATTTAATGTGCTTGACAACCTGAGCCCCTTCGGGGCCCAGGTTAGCAAATTCAAAGCCAGATGCTTCTCTTATTTGTTAGGTGAAATAATAAAATGTTCTGAATTGCTAATTAAAATCAATAAAAAAATGTTATTTGAATTCTACAGATTTGTAGAATTAAAATAAAAAATTTTTATTAGTTTTGATCAAATTGTTGTAATTTTTTAAAAAATTTTATCAAAGGAATCACCTATTATTTTTGATTTCTGATCGCTAAAATTTCATTAGTTGATTACATACAGATCTATCCTTTTTCTATTTCTTTGCACTGGCCTTTAGATCCATAATCACTAGATAAAGTTGTAAAGTAATCCTATACTCAGATTCATTTTTTAAACACTTCTCTTGTTTTGGTTTATTAGACTGACCATTGTCCAACATAAGTGTAGTAGTTGTAATATCTATCAAAGAAATACTACTAGACTTTTTGTTAGAGCTTTTATTAAATGGTATATTTCTCTTATTAATTTCCATATTTTTTATTACAAGTTTTATTCAGGACAACGAAGTAGAAGTATGATCTTATACTCTTAATTTATTTATTATCATAATATTTAAAATAAACTTTAAATTACTTAAACTTCTTATCAGTCATAGTCATGTCATTACAGTATTACAGTCATTACATTCATCGTCACTATAACTACTGTAAATCTAATGGATTAAAATAGTCGAATATCCATTGGATCATCCAATGTATTATTTAAAAGTATGTACAGTACAAGTATTTAAAAAGGATATAAAAAAAAAACGGGATATAGAAATTATATACAGTACGATTAAAATCTTGTACTATACGGTAATATATTTTACTGTACTGAATGATATACTAATTCTCTTGTAATAAAAATTTTAATATTTATATTACTTCGATATATAAAGTTTTTATTCTTGAGGAAACAAAATTTTAAATAGAGAGCTTTTTTTTGCGTCCAGAACCAGTGGTTCATTATGGAAAGAGTTGTATTGCCTATTAATTATTTTTGCAAAATAGAAAAGAAAAAAAATCATATATTGAGTAATTGGGATCAGGAGGTCAAGAGAAAATGTGGAATTTCATGCGCATGAAATTCTAGCTCGCATTATAGTAGCTTGCTGCTAATGCGGGCCAGAATCATGAGGTTCCCATGCGCATAATAACATCACTAGTTATGCTAGATTTGCTATTATATGCGTAGACCTTTCTATTACGCTTTCTATACTTGCATACTCTATGTAAATTCCCAAATGTATGGTATAACTTGGACCCAATTTATAATAGCATATATTTTTTTGCTCTTTATAAATTTATGTTTCTCTAACATATCTCTTACTTTTTTCATTATGGTAAAAAGGAATAAGTGTCTAGGGAGGTCTGACTGTACTCAGAAAACAAAAAACCTGTATAATTGAATTATTATCATTGTATTTTAATTCTTCAAGTAAACTTTATCATATTTATTCTAAATTAAAAATCAAGTATTGAAGGTAATATATTATACTAAACAAGTACAATATTTGCAACATTTTATTTATAAAAAATTCTTTCTATTGATCATTCTAACCACATTTGGAGCAGAAAGAAAAATTAGAAAAACACTGAATTTTTATTAAAAACTAGTAGCAAAGTTATTAATAAAAAGAAAAGATACTCAAGAAATATATATAATAAGATTAAAAAACAATAAACTAAAAAGAAGACAAGAGCTTAAAAAGATTTTTAGACACAAAATTCATTATGAAAAAATTTTTTTTTAAAAAAAAAGTAGAGATTGTATATATCTTATAATGTAGATTATTTCATATAATACAAATATATGAAAATAAAGTAAGCAAACAAATATAATAGAAACAAACTATACATATTATGTATCAAGTAATAGAAACCAAATATGTATAACTAAAACTGAACAACTTATTGCAAAAAGGAAAAACTTCAAGAAATTTTGTTAAAAAGGTAAAATTACTTTAAGAAATAATCAAATAGATAGACTAGATAAATAGAGAACAAACAAACTATGTAAAATAGAATGAAAGCAATAAGACTAGTTAGAATAGTAACCAAAGAGTATAGTAAAGAGATAATAACAGAAAGTAGTAAGTTAGTAATAGATTTAGAAGATTATATTAATAGAATAATAGCAGAGATATTAGAAATAGAAAGTGATATAATAATAGTAGCAAGAGAGTAGAGAAAAATAATAGAGAGAGTAGTGATAACAGAAAGAATTGATAGAGTTAAAATAGTATTAGGATAAAAGAACAAAAATATAGTAGTAAAAGAAGATAAAATAGTAATACAAGAAAACAAAACAGATATAAAAATGATAAACTAAATAAACTCAACTAAATTAGATAATAATATAAAAGTAAAAGCACTAATAAAAAAAACATATCACTAACAAATGGGAACCCATACAGCAAAAAGAGGCATTGGGCCATTTTAAATTTCAGTCTTTAAATGAGTATATCTTGTGATCTAGTGAT